TGTCTGGGAATGTTTTCCTGCTGATTTGAGGTCGCTTGGTGCTTTTTGAGTTCTGAGGGGTATTGGTGGTTTTGATGAATTGTGTGCGCATGAACTTTTAGGTTTCCCCCCTTAAACGAAAAATCAAGTCTAGCTAGCCTGAGTGGCAAATGAACAAATTGTGAAAATGAAACTTTGATGTGTATTCCTCGACATCATGCCCCACCAAGCCTTCACAAGGCTCACAAGGCTCTGTTTTCCACGTGAAAACTTTGAAGGGCTATTTAAACAAAACACAAAAAACTTTGAAGGGCTATGTAAAAAATACTTTGAAGGGCTATTAAAAAAACACACATCAATCGGATGAAACCCATCCTACCCCTTACTATGAATCATCTCGGACAAGGTGCCTAAGCCTAAGCCTCTTGTTTCGGATTGCACACACTGCACCATCTCTGGCCAAACCCACCGTTTGGTCAAGATCTACCCTCCCGGAAACTAACATGGAAGCTGAGCCGGTGGACCATTTTCCCCTACAACCCAGTGGTTTTGGGGTTCCATGTTAACCTGCGGGGGAGTACTTTTTCTATAATTAGGCACTTCCGTCCCTGAAAAGTGGTCCAGACTCATTACGCAACAACGCACCGTCACATGCATCCATTTCGCGCATCGGGGAACAACAAACCGCTCGTTCCTCGCCTCGCCGGCTCGCCGGGGCGATAGGTCTCGGGACTCAAGGCAGGACTCCCGGCCAAAAGCAAAGGACCCAAGCAAATCCTGGCCTGTCAGCGGCATCGCCCCGTTTTTGATAAAAACACATGCACCAGAAGCGCGAGAGACCGGGCGGCAATTCTAGGATATCATGGTTTCTAAAGCTGATCAAGGCCCCAACAAGTGCTGCAAATCTTCCATGGCGTTCCCGCCATGTATACGTACTAAGGCAAGGAAGAGTTCCTGTTCCACAACATGAAGGGGGAAGGAGTGACACCAGTGGCATCAGTGACCGATGGCGGTCAGCCATCGCATGTAGTTTACATACTCGCCGTCCTCGCCCTCGTCTTTCAGCGGGCAGGGCGAGCCATCGACCAGCACGACACCCGACCCCGACACCCGACCTCGCTCACCACCTGCTGCGTGCCTGGCCAAGAGCGGCGAAGGAGGGCCTCTTGGCCCCAATGGACCATATAATAACGCTCCATAAGACTGACATATATACCCACATTGGGGTGGTTTCAGGGGCAATGTGGGCATATGTGGGCATATATGCTATACTTGGAGCGTTTGGGAATACACAAAGCACAATCCTCAAGCAAAATCAGCAGCAGCAAATAGATCAATTGAGGTATGTTCAGCCAATCTTGTTATCTATTGCCTGTCTGCTCTCTATCTACATTCCGGGGAATCGATGGCTTTTCTTGGAGCACATTCACGTGCACATTCAGACCAAAGACACCTAACAATTTGGAGCCAAGTGATTGCAATTTGGAGCCTTGGGGCTGTAGAATCGTCAAGTAACATGACAAAGTTGAATAGAAAGGAAGGTAAAGGATCCCCTTAAAGGATCCTCTTGAAGTGGCCTTATTTGGTCCTTGTTCAATCATTGTTTTACTTTCTGAACATAAGAAGCTGGAGCTCGCGGCCATCCAAAGTGACGCTGATCGGGAGCTTGGCAGTTTGGATGCCCTTCACAAAGTCCAAAGTCACCTGAGAAAACCGTCTTCTATGAGGGGGCCGGTATGGTCAAGTGGCTATGATGCATCCCTCATGCAGTTAAGGGGGTGAGCTATAGGGTGTGGATCGTTAAAACAACAACAACAACAACAACAACAACAACAACAACAACAACCACAACCACAACCACAACCACAACCACAACGACCACGACCAGGACCAGGACCAGGACCAGGACCACGACCACGACCACGACGACCACGACCACGACAACGACAACAAAAACCACAACGACGACGACAACAGCGACAGCGAGTGTCTTCCATGAAGTTCGGGCAGTGCTTCCATGACCTATCCGCTATCCTTGCTCTTCCTTGAAGCGTCAAACAAACCGCCTTCAGTAGCGTTCACCAGCCTGGTGACCTAGCCTACGTAGCCTAAGCCCGTTTACGGGATGATGATGATGATGATGATGATGATTTTGATGATGATGATGATGATGATGATGATGATGATGATGATGATGATATAGATGCATCCCTGAGACACCTAAGTCTACTGGGTCCCGTCACTGCGGGTAGCCTTAGAGCCAATGACAAACATGCCTAATAGCCTAATATAATAACATTATATCCTATCGGCCTACAGGTATGAAGAGACCAATACCTGTAAGCATATGACATAACAAACCAAACATAGTGGTATATTAGGTATGGGACCTGATGACCAACATGCCATATGACCAACATGCCAACATGGCATGCTTCGGCCATCCTCGGCCTCCCCAAAAAGCAGCCTCAGCTTCGGGCATTGAAGCTTCCGATGTCCTTCTCTAAGCTAATCCTCTTGGCGCCTCTGGGCGCAGCCTGGAACGACTCGAACAAGTCGAGGAAGAAACTCCCTGGAAGAGGGGGTTATGATGGTGTATGGCTTATCCAAGAAAAGCACCATCATAGGTGGAACGAGGCTGAAACTACATGAAGCACCGGCTTCGCCAAGCAATTCCCCCAGCAACACCGGTGTTCCCCTCACCCATGGAACCCCTCCCACGAGGCCTGCCGCTGCTCCACCTCTCCGGCATTCAAGGCCACCGACACCGAGCTCGACACCGCGCCGCTGGCGTCCAAGAAAGGTCTGAGCCGGCAAGGGAGTGCGCAGGGTCCGTAGTCGGGGCTGTTCTTTTCTCATCGAGCTGGTGCAAGAAGTGTCTTTTTCACGGAACTAAGTGCGTTGTGCTCAAATACGCGAGTTCCTGGCTCTCCTTGTGTTTGCTCGGCGATGGATGGGCTCTGAACAGTAGGCACAGAACATGGAATTCAGCCAAAGGATTATCAAAGGAGCTGCAATCGGCATCCTCCTGCCAATTGCTTCGGTCCATTGAAGCCGGGTGGTCAAGGTCTTTGTGCTGCAGGATTGACTCCTGCTGCTGCTGCCGCCACAAGGTGTCACTTACTTACATGGCTTGACGTTGGTTGGCTTTGTTTGAAGCAGTTGAAGGGATTCAGCTCACTTAAGTTAGACTACTACAAAATGCTTGCACCCGGTTGCTTCCCATTGGAGTCTAAGTCGACTTGCTCAGGCCGAGGCATGGATATTGTGCAGCCAGTCAAAGAAGGATGGACGGCGGCCTGCCTCAGAGCCAGCTGCAGAATATGTCCAGTTAGGGTGCCAGCTGCTACCACAAAGGAACTAGGTCCTAGGTGTCTCTGAGCCATGCCCTGTCGACGAGAGTCTCGAGAGTCTTACACAACCATATATATTTATTGCCAACAAGGTGTTTCGCTATCAAGTGGTCTGATCATCATCCGATTCACACTCATAGCTTGCAGGAAGCTCATCAAAGTCACAAAAAATAACAAAACACTCTTGACCAGGAAAATGGCGGCAAGCTGCGCAGTTTAGTATGACATGGAGGTAAGTAGATTGTAACACACTCCACTTTTTGACTACGTTCATCTCTGATAGCTCACAGTTTCACCACAGCTCGCCTTTGTCTTCGCCTCTGTCACCCAGCTCCAAAAGAAAAGCACCTCTACAAAAAAATCCCAACGAATCCGCAAAAATCAACTGAGCGGTGTCAAAAACCATCCGGAACTTTTATTGAGATTATAAACACCTTTCGCCAATCCCTTCGCAACGCTTTCGCGGCTGCATGTGTTGCTTTCGCCGACCCACTTCACCCAACGACCTCTTTAGCTAACCCTTTCGCCGAGTTTCTGCTACTTACATCTAAGAAAAGTATCAGCAAAGGGGAATCATTCCTAATCTGCAACCACTGCTTTCGCCACATCTTCGCGAACCTTTCGCCAACCTTTCACCTGGTTATCAGGAATCTTTGGATGACATGCTTGGTACTGAAAACCTCTTTGCCAACCCTTTCGCAGCAAAATCAATTCATCAAGAATTCAGAGCCTTCTCCAAATCTTTCGCCAAGCTTTCCCCAATGGCAGTTTTCCTTTCGCACAGATTCATAATCTTAAGTGGGGCTGTTTTGACGTCCCGCGTTTTGTTTTGACCACTGGACCGAGTGGTGTTCCACACGGCCTGGCCGCGACGCGTCGCGGCGAAGCCTGGGATCCGTACACACAAAGCTTGAAGTTCACATTCCGTGGCTCGAAGTCCCAGGTGAAAGGCTTCGCCATATCACCGGCCTCGCGATGTTGGTGCGTGGTGAGTGGGTGTCTGTGGTATTGAGCGGCTGGCACACGGGGGATTTCCGGACTGCTGGAGAATCATTGAGCTCCCAATTTGATGAAAGTTGATGTCAAGCTGCTTTGACTTTAATATAAAACACCCAAGGAATGGAAGGTGTCAATATAGATACTTCAAGCATCAGGCTGCTCTGCGGACCAGCCTATAAAGCCACAATAGGCAGGTCTAAAATTATCAAGTTGGTGAAACAAATCTCAAACATCAGTCAGCACCTTCGATGGACCTACGCTGGCCCGAAGGTGAAACAAACGGCCGGGCCATTGGAGGATTGGACGCCAACAAATTCAGGCGTCTGAGCCGAAAATGCCGCAGGTGATGACATAGTGATGATGCACGTGTTTTGCGATCTGTTGGACTTGCGGAAGTTAGTTCGATTTCACATCTCGGCGACTGTTTGAATAGTGCAATTATCAGTCGTATATGTTTGAAAAGGACTTGTTGAATGCGTCTTATAATGACTTATATATATTTACTTATGTAATTTGTAGTCACCTGTACTGCAGCAGTGGCCAGAAGATGGCAAGAATACGTAAGAATTCAACAAGTGTTAGGAGGAAAATTGCAACAGGTGCCTGCTCAGCCTTTTTCGGAGGCAGGTGAAACTGAAACTACAATCAAAGCAATCGGCCATCACAGCATCAAATCTCCTCCTCGGACATGGTCCCGGCAAAGGATTGATGGCTGCGGCTGATGTTGAAAAAATATCCAGCACGCGAAACAGGTTGGACATCATATACCAGGGCTTTCTGCTTTGTTGACTTCGAACGACCCCTTTGGTAGCATTCAGGATGCCAAAATGGGACAGGAGGACACACAAATTGGGGTCGGTGGTTGAGTAGTACCCGACTCTTCCGTCCATTTCGACGATATTTTGAGGGACTTGAACTTACCCAGATACTCCGTGAGACTGCCATAGGACTGCCGCCCCATTGAACCCCCTGGCACCACCCCTGGCCTGATCGGCATCTATGGCAGTCCCATATGGAGTGTCTGGGTTAGGTATCCCTGCATGTTCTCCGGACTTCTCAAAGGGCAACACGGAGTGAAACAAAGGCTTCGTGGCCTCGCCGCCTCGTTTGGACATTCTCAATACTTTCTATTGCAATTTGCTCCACCAAAGACAAAGAAAGATGTAACATTTGGTGGCGTCCACCCGGGATCGGACCTGGTTCTTGTAGAAATTCTGCTGTTTTTCACCAAGCTTCACCCTGGATGTTCTTGTAGATCTGAGCCATTAAGCCACCAGTCCTGTCTCCGCACATTGTGGGGAGGTGCGCGGAAAGTCGAAGTCACAAGCACTCTCTGACTGAAAATGCGACAACAGCAGTCTCATTGGGAGGAAGGAGATTGCTTTTCCCAACTTAAGATCACAGACCTGTAAGAACATTGTCTTAGAACATGTAAGGCCTCTGCAGGAAATAGGGCTCTGAGTCAGCGACACGCCACAGCCTTTGCCAGCACCCACCTGTGAAGAACGGAACCAGAATGCCAGCATCAGCTCGGCAGGATGATGTCGACTCTTGATAAATAAACCCCCCATATTAAATCCAAATGGAGAAGCTGTTACTGTAATTAAACAATCTATACATTACCAGTCACCAGTCCACCAGCTGTGACGTCTACGTTTGGCCGCCCTCAGCCCGCCCTGGACCCTGGCGGATGATTTGGGAAACAGTGACGGGCTGACACTGAACATCTGCATGCGAACAGAACGACCTATCAACGTAATGATGCGGAAATATTTGTCTGCCTTTGCACCCTATATGGTGTGTAATCAGTTTGGATTTGAAAAGGCTCCCCATGGGCAAGAACCGGCCATGAACAATAGGTTGTCTTTCAAAACCAAACAGGACAATCCTTACCTATAAGTGGGGGAAGTAAACACAGCCGGTGAATCCAGGCATCTGGGCGTCCAGCGAATTTCTTGTTGTCCCACATCTTTTGGGCCACCTGCTTGTTGTGCATGTCTGTATTCAGCATCAACCTGGCTGCATTCCACACGGCCACATGCTTGGGGCTCCACTGCATTGGAGGTCAAAGCAAAACAAACGGCACTCAAAGGACACCTAGCAGCATACACGTCTCACAAGGAATTCTGTGCCCAGCTACTGGTTGTTTATCATTGACGTTCAATTGGATACAACCCCCTGCATGTAATCAATCAAAACGGGGAAGGTAGCCCAACAAAGGCACGTGCGAACATCAAGGCATATCACATCCACTCCAGTGCCTCAACCCGTCGCTCGATTGGCGCGACGCACGGAAACACGGAGCCTCCATTTGGGGTGTCTATATATATATATATATATCCCAGACGCGAACCATGGAACTGCCATGCCATAGGACTGCCGATCAGTTGGGGTGGTTTGGGGTGGTTGGGTTTAGGCATATATTCCATACATGGAGTGTATGGGATATATATATATAGCCTCTTATGATTCCCATACACTCCATGGGACTGGAATAGGACTGCCGCCCCAGAAAGACCCCCCTGGCACTACCCCTGGCCGTTTCTCGGCATCTATGGCAGTCCCAGACACGTCGCGTCTGGGATTTGGATGTCAGGGTGTCCCAAAACCACCAGGCTTGGAAGGTCCTGGCATTCGAGATCAGGTGAGCCAGGAGACTCTTGATGTGCGCCAGGCCCCAACCCCCCTTGCGAGAAGGTATGTGGATCCACTGGGGGCGGGCATGATTTGGCTACTAGGATTGCCTCCACCCAGTGGGTGACACCTCGGTGAAAAGGAAAAAGTGGATGAAACCTTGGTCACTGAAAGAGCGGCCAGTGCACAGGCCGACAGTGAAACCGATTGATTGACTTGAAACCGAGAATTGACTTCTTGACAACTTGACCTCCGTCACCTGCGTCATCCTGCATCCAACTGACAAATCACACCCAACAACCCTTTTCTAGTTACATATAGTTACTATAGCCTCACATGCCCCCTCAGTGTGAACATGCTAAACCATTGAATGGTTCACCTCCCCACTCGCGGGTCCGCCCAACTGCCCAGTTGGGATCACCGAAAGTCAGTCAACAGGCAACTGAGTGTCTGACGTCGTGTATGCAAGCCCAAACAGGACTTCATCCGGGGTGCGGTAGGTCTGCCGCCTCAGTCGCCAAACACGTCCATTGACCAACTAAGCATACTAAGCCATGTTGAAGGGAGAAGACCTGGCTATTCACAGCGTGTTGGAGGCTCCAGGTGGCTCAGAATTTCTTCCAACTGCAACAATATCCAATAGTATCCATATATCATGGGCAGGGAGAGACCCCAAACCAATGAGTTTTGGGACGATTTTGCTTCTTCCAGACTGCCCCGTGCTGGTCCGGGGAATCCAAAGACACGCCACAAGCTTCAATCCTTGCGTGGTGCTCGCACCACGAGCCCCCCCGCGCGAGACGTTCTCAACGCTTGGTCACCCGAACTCAGCCTCTGGTAGCATCGAGGCCTCGAAGCCTCGTTGGTTCTGATGTTTCAATGTTGGTGTTTATTCTTTGCCGATGTCTTTCCCTCTGAATCACGTCGTTTGGAACGCCCGGATGTGACCACATCCGGGCGCCTGGTGGTTCACCGCGTCGCGTTGAACCCGCGTGTGCTCTGAAACCGCGCACGCTGAAAGATTGCGCGCTCGTTACCGCTCTCAGAGGGGGACATGAGAGGAAGGCGGCATCAGCCACCTGAGCCGCATGAGGCAACATGAGCTCGTATAGTCCAGGGGATCCAAATCGATTTGTGTGGTGCATTTTTGGGGAATGTACCCAACAATTTTTGGATTCCAAATGGTACCGTTTCTTTTTTTGGCGGGTAATGGTCCTATAGATGGTCTTAGCATGTCTTAGCATTTCTGTCATCTTTACTATGAACCTGCCTTTTTGGGGGGAAAGGTCAGTCCCGTAAACAAGGGGAGTGCGTAGGTGAGACTTTGGTGGCCGTGGTTGTGAATGTGTGGGATGGGTACCCAAACATGACTATTCTGAATTCTCCGCTGCACTACTCCAGTGACTGGGCCCTCTTCGCAAGTGGAGCAATCATTAACCCACAAACACTCTCTCTCTCTCTGGATATATGCTGGTTGAGTTGTGCCTCCCCAGAATAAGTCCAAAATAATGCAAGGATTTTTCAACAAAAACAACTACGAGGCGTTTTATGGATTGGTCTCGTGCAACTGGATCCTAAGTGCAACATCAGCAGGGCTAGACAAGAAATTCTAACGGATGCAAACAGCGTAAGTTGCAGTCAGGACCTCACTCCACAATTGGTGACAGGTTGCCATCTGCTATCTTTGAATCTTTTTGACAAGTAAGATCAAGTGAGAACCTTTTATAACTTTCGGCTACCTAGGGGACATGCCAAAACGTAATCTTCAGTCAAAGCCAGCCCCTACCTTTCTACAATTCTACAGATCCACCAGATTCCACATACACTTCGTCGGCCGCCGTCGCGCGCGACTGGGGCGCAGCGCCAGAGCTTCTGCGAACGCCTCGATGACACGTTGCACCGGGTCTGCCTCGGGCGGGTCGTCACCGGATGGACTGCGGGTCCGGAAGATGGGCTGTTGACAAAACGACGGTCGAGTGAAAGAAACCAGTTGATTGGTGAGTTATCGGTGGTAGGTAAGTCATTAAAAGAAAGCTTGTGGATGAACATGTCTTCCTACCGTGCTTACTGAGGTTGCCCGAGGTGAAGTCGAGGTTGGTCTTGATATATCTTGATTTTAAAGTTGGACAATGTCAGGACATTAGATCTGACATGATCTGGCTAGATTGCTGAGCTGGCGGCCTCAGAAACCGTGTTGCACAAGCCTATAATTCGATTCCGGAGGGGACAAGTTAGGAAGCGATGCATGGATTGCAAGGGGCCATGTCACTTCGAGTAGATTGCACCTTGTCTGGCAAATGCTTCATGGAAGCATTTCAACACCCAGCCAGCTGGTAGAGCGAGAAGCGTCAAACCGAAAGGGCCTTGGTCTTGGTGTCGTTTTAAACGTATGTTTGAATGACCACCCCTGCCTCAAGCTTCGCCATGCGGATGGCGTTGGCGAAGAAGGAGCGCATCGCCGACCTCAAGTGGGGAGACTGGATGCTGTCACTGGACCATCAGCGCGGACCATTTAGATCACCATCTCCAAAGAATCCAAGTAGTAAGAATGCTACTGGTAGCGATGCCCGGGTTCCTAGTAGCTTCTTGCTCCTAGTAGTATGGCCAGGAGCCCCTAGAGTAGCTTCTTGTTACTAGTAGCTTCTTTGTTCCCCAAACATCACGTCTTCCACGTCTTTCACTGCCTTCTTTTGTGCACCGCACAAAGACAGCGGTACTAGAGAGCTCCGTAGGACAGGATCTGACTCCGGGGCGAAAGTCACAAGACTCGGTGAGAAGAGGTGATTTTTTGGTACAAAAGTGAAAACAACGGTGAGCCTATCGACGAAGGCGGGCGCGAAACCACAACTCGTCCCATTTGTAGCGGTTAATTACAGGGGCGAGAGAGAGGTGATCGATGGTGATCAATGGGGTGATCACTCAGGTTACCAGTGAGCAGCACTCTTAGGATCATTGAAAACGTCAACGTATGATTCAGATCATGTCTAAGTCGTGAACGCAGAACTTATAAGCATGCCCTGAAAGAAGACACTCCAAACAACCCCGTCTAATCGCCCAGGGGTCCCGGCACGAAGAGGTTCCCATTGCTCTTGTCGTCCGCCGTGGATGAGACGCCGCCCAAGCGTCCCAGGATCCAATCCTCGGGGCTACGCGGCGTAGCGCGGCTCGGCACTGGGCAGCGCTCAGTGCGGCAGTGCGGCGCGGATGGTTTAGTTGAGTGGTTGGGTGGATATGGGTCGATGATGGGTGGTGTTATATGGGTGGATGATGGGTGTTATGCAGCTGGAAAGAATGACTCATGCGGGCATGACGGCAGGACTTTCGGCACTACACTGCACTACAGTTTTGAATTGTTTTGGGGAGGCCAATGCAAACAAGTAGTTTATGGAGGTCGACAATGGAGCTTTGATCGAACCAACCAATCAAGACACCAACAAACAGTATATCTGAATGCCTTTCATTCCCTTGCACTGATCGCATTTGCATGCATTTGCACTGCATTCTGTCAATTTCGGTAATATGATTTGATTCGTGAAATCTCTTAGCCCTGCAACCCCCCTCAGCACGCCAAATAGGTCAGCAAAAACGGGCCCTCTGCCCAATGATCCCAATGGCAAGTACATGACACGTGAACCTAATGGGGCATCTAGTGACTAGTGCATGAAGTTGATGACTGACTCTGAGGCATTTGGTCAATCGTGTTATCCACACCCCAACAACTCTGAGGTGGCGTGCAGTACGACTCATGCGTCTTCTGGACCTCAAACGAGGCAGCCAAAATCATGAGTCATGAGACCCAAATCATCCCAAACGCTGCAGCAGCCTTCTCAAAAACCTAGATACCTAATGATACCTAGTCAGCGAGCGAAGGTCTCAACTCTCAACATCTCTCAACAGTCTGAGGATCGAAAGGTCCCCTGATCAAACTTCGGCCACAGGGGCAGGAGTTACGACAGGCTCTGTCTTTCGGCTCACTTCGCCCGAAGAAGGGGTACAAGTGCCAAAAATGGCAGGTGGGTCAAAAACCGAGCACCCTGGTTGACCCCACAAAATGAAGAGATTCCTCCATAAGGGACGCCAACCTTCCATGGTTTGGTGGGGGAGGTGCTTTGACCTACAGCCGGCAGGACACCAACCTCCAATTTAGTCATTTGCAAGCAGCCTCAAGAGGCGCTTTTTTGGTCCTACCCTAATCCATCCTAACCTAAGCCTCCTCCATTATAAAACCCCAAAGCTACGCTCGGCTCACCTGCTGAGGTCCACGTCAAGCGCTCATTATATCCCTATAGGGAACTGCCAGGAACGGCTGCTTTCCGCTGATTTCCAGTATGTTTTACCACTGTTTAACGAACAAAAACCGTGGTAAAAGATCCAGAAAGTCCATGTTGATCACAAGGTGTTTCCCTAAGTTAGTCCATGCAACCTCAACCACCTCGTGCCCGGTGTCACAGCACACCGGTGTCACCGAGGTTCCCGGGCTGCGACCGTGGCCGGCGCGCGACGTCGGTGGAGGGGCCCTGGGAGCCGCTGCGAGAGGACCTGGCAAGCATGGAAGCTTGGTTGGAGCTATATGGAAGCTTCATTGTTACTATAAGTGGTATAGGTAATGGCCTCCAACCTACTAGTAATGGCCACCCTAGTAGCTTCTTTAAGTTGTTACTATAGTAGTAGCGATGCCCTTTACTAGTATAGTAAAGCCAGGAGCTACTAGTAGCGTCCTTGCTCCATGCCAATTGTTCCTCGTAACTTCTTGTTACTACTGTAGTAGTAATGACCTCCACCCTGTAGTAGCTTTTTGTTCCTATAGTTGCATGGATTCTTGTTGGAGGACACACCTCGGATCCACATACCATTCCAGTACAGGGATGATCCCATAAAGATGAATGATCCCATTCCCCCGGAAATGCAATACCAAAAAATCAGACACTCAGGGATTACCCTGAGGATCATTTTTTGAGTGTCACACCCTCAGGGATGTACTGCCACCACTACTGCCACCTTCTCAGGTTCGGTACGACTGGGCCCGACCCAGGCGCTATAATTAAATATAGTCTCCCTGCTCACCGTACCTCAGGTTCGGTATGTAGATCGGAAGTAAGTATGGCTGGCAACATCTGGAGAACATGGATTGGGGCAAAAAAAATGGACCTGTGGAAGCAGGTCCTCTTCCTACTTTACCAAGGGTCTTTAGCTACTGGCTCTGGGCTCCGAGACTGCCGGCTGCCAGGCGAGCTTGCAGCACTCTCCTGGCAAGTACATGCGCCGAAGAGTTGGCATGTACCCATGGTTCAATCATGTTCAATATCCCATGGAAGCATAATGACTCTTGACTGATTCACACACCCCCCCATTTGGATGCGCTAACGACCTCGTAGTTGCGCGGGGGCTTTATGAAAATCAAGAGTCGTCTACTACATGAAAACCATTGAAAACCCTACAAATCCAGTCGTACCGAACCTCAGGTACGGCACCGCTGAACCCGAAAAATGGCACCCGGGCCCCCAGTCACACCGAACCTGAGGTTCGGTACGACTGGATCCCTAGGGAATGAGTTCTCTCCGGGCACTCGCAGTACCTGTCGTCCCCAGGAGCCCGTCCCACCTCGGGAATGTCCAAGGTGCTTCGCCACTCCATGCGCCTCGCGAAGGGAAGGAACGGACCAGTTCAACCGACATGTGTTGTTCTTTCATTGTTTTCAGTTAATTTTGTTGTGCTTTTCGAGGTTGCTGTGATCGGTCGTGTTCCTGTGATCGATACTTTCGCAGCTTGAAATCGAAGAACCACTGCAAAAAAAAGACCATGGTCTATCAAATTGACAGCATTCAGGCCAGTTCAGAAATTCACCTTCAGTCCCCTTTGAAAAACGCCGTGTGTGAGAACGTCCTGTCACAACAGCACGACTCAACGTGAATCGGTCATTTCAATCAGCTCTTCAAAGCCGAATTCGCAGTCCTCACATGGTTCAGCAACCCCCACGCATCGAGCTGTCGAAGTAGACACTTTTTCAGACACGAAGTCTCGAACTTTCAATTTCCCCTGCTTTCATGAAGGTTTTCTTGTTTTACGGGGCGGGTGAGCCGAGCCCCATCAGTTTCCGAAAGAATGGAAGCTTCACCTTCTTTCCACCTGCTGCACCTGCTGCTACACCACGCCAATCAGAAGCCTCCACAGGTCCTTCCATCCTCTTCGTCCAAAGGTCTTTGGATCGAACGACATTCACCTCCTTCCACTCGGATCGAACGCCAGCCGCGCGTCGTGACGCGCGAGTCGCTCGACTCGCGTGGTGCCCCCAGCTCGAGTCGCTCGGCTGAGGTGCCCACCACTCGGACTCCCAAAGCTTGGTATAGGCCTGGCAGCGGGTCGGCCGAAGTACCAGGTGTGGGGAACGACCGAAGCCGCCTCGGTCGTCGGTCGAGGCCGAAGCGATCTCAGGCCTAAGCGATCCGATCGACCTCGGCATGCCGATGCCCAGATCGATATCACAAGGGTTTTTCGTCATGGAAACTCAGCCATGCAGAGAGTCCACGTGAAGTCAAGAAGTGGCAACTCAGTTGAGTCGATGATGAGAGGCCAGCCAGTGTCAGCGGCGAAAAAGGCATTTGAATGCACGTTTTTACGAGCTTTTCCCGTCCTAAGCAGGTTCTCTCAGTCTGCAAGCTTCTCACTCAAACTTTCAGTCGGCTAGCTGACTTGACTCAGGCAAGCCAAGGATGCATGCGATTTCCCAACACAGTTTCAGGCCTTCAACAACTCCTTGCAGTGCGGCTTAGGGCTGCCTGTGCCGAGCGAAGCGGGCACTCCGAGAGCTCGGATCGGACGAATTACATGATCTGCCGGATTTGTGGAATAAGGTTGCACAAAAAGTCTTGGCAAAAAGGCGGAATGAACTTGATGTAGCTGATGCGCCCCCAGATCGTCACTCCTTTTAAACTAGCCTACTAGCCATGTTTTCCGAACAGAAACTACAATGTGATATATTGTGATATCTGGACTTGTTACACAATAGGTTAGAGATGATTAGAGACACGGTACTCTATGTCTAAGTCCAAGTCCCTCGTCTACCTCTCCCTCCTCCGGTCCCTCGTGGTCTCTCTCCGGTCCCTCGTGGTCTCGGACACCGCACTGAGAAAGCCCGCCAACTTGGTCCGGTCCACCAGCGACGACTGAGACGCTCGGAGATAGATCCAGGCCTGGCTGGTCGATGGACCCGGGCCCCCAAATGGAAAGAAACCACCACTTCTGAAGATCCCACTTCTGCAGAAACTGGGGGTGTGAAGTGATGTGGAACGTCGCGTGCTGCCGAACACCGCCGTCGTCAGGTCTGGGTTGGAATGTTCTAACTTCGGGAGGCTGATTTGCAGGACGTTTGACATTGATTTGGGATGAGTCCGGGCGCTATCCCGCCGAACAGCGGCCCGCAAGCTGCTCGCCCCAAACTCCCCATCCACACCCGCTGCTCCACCGTGAAGTCCAGGTCTGGACATGCTTCAGGCCTCGTGGGCGACAGGACGCGCGCAGCCGATGGAAATGGAGTGGCTCACGTTCTGGACGACCAACCCTCCCAAACATGACCCTGATGTTGCATCAGGGCGCTGGAGGCGTTAAAAACATAGTTTCCAATAGATGTGTAGTCAGCGTGTATTGGTCTGAAGCAGTAGTGGAAGAGTTGGGGACACGTCAAAAACATGTCACAAAACACTCAACAACCATCTGAACATGTGTCAGTTCTAATGTGTTTCCTGTTGTTGTTCCACTTTCTGTCTAGGGGATGACCGTCATGTCAACTGCATGTCACAGTCTGACATGGTCTGACTTGGAACACTGGAACACCATCATGTATGGCGGCCAAACGGTTTATGTAACACCAAAACGCGACCAAAAACCCTTAGGTTGTGAGACCTCCCATTCAGAACATCCTCTCGGGTTTCTTGCCCAAATCGGTGTTGCCCCGAAAAAGGAAGAGCGGGGGTGCTTGGGAAAGCACACACTAGCTCAAAACCTATCTAAAACACTGCAAATACCTCGCATAATTTAAGAAACTGCTCTGAGACCTAGGCGAAAGGCATATGTTCATATCTTCTTGTGCCAAAATTTTATGTGCGATGTCTAAGTCTATGTGTAAAACCAATGATAAACATTATCAATTTGACTCGTCTGTGTTAAATATTATATAACTGCATGGTAATTTGAAGTCATTTGTTCTCAAAACCGGTCAAAGCTGTTTGGCTTTGAATTCTGCAAGGACTGATATCAGATATGAAGACTTCAACTTCAAGACTCTACCCTCAGCAACTTCACCTTGATCCCAAAGGATCATTTTATTTTTATTGATGTTGTTTTTCCATCGATGTCCTTTATTTTTCATAGGCAAAACACAATCCAAATAACACAAATAAAATTGTTGTGTGCATTTTGGCTTTGGTGGCACCCCGTCCAAACCAAGAGAAACAAATCATGACAAGGCAACCACAGAGAAATATGTATATATGTCTTTTTGTTCGGGCAATGGCATAGAAATCAATCAAACTTTTTGTGCCCAGTCTAGCTCCTTACCTTCTTAGAAAGAACTAAGCCAAACAAAACAACTTGACCAAGAAGAAAACCTTGTGAAGATTGAAGAGCAGCCTTCCTTTTTGGTGCTTAATGTTAAGGCACTATTGAACCTGTAGAACACCTTAAGCAACACAAACACAACCTACTGGAACAATAGAAACACTTATTGAGACAGGACACCAAAAAGAAACAACTTGTTGGCTGGATACAAGTAAATTGATGTTGTTGCAACTTGGTCTAGTTCATTAGCCTTTTTAGTAATGCGTTCCCTTGATTGAATCTTACTGCTCTTAAGAAGGCCATGTTAAAATATAATCCTTGTGAAAGTTGAAGCGGCTTCCTATTGGTGCTCAATTTTTGAATGAATTTGCGCAAATAGAGCAAATTAAGCAAGACATACTTACTGTAACCCTACTGACGACTACGCCTCGCAAAATCCTAGTTTTTGAGCTATTGTGTTGCTTCAATTGTTCAGATCAGGCCGGCAAAGGTTTGAGGGAATACAAACATAACCAAACAAATACACAAAAATACAGCAAAAAACACAAACAAACAGCACAAGAAAAAACACCTACGTTTGAGACAGAATCAGCAAATCCAAGTCCTATATAGTACCTCACTTTGTCTCAAACATTGTTTTGTCCCCAAACTGTGTGGACACACGAGGGGTTCTTACGGTAATGGAAAAGCAGCTGTGCTTAGATCGCTGTTCTGCGCAGCCGTGTCCGGCTAATTCGTTGCTATTTACAGTACATTCATGCCTCTCGACATCGTCAATGTGCATTTCGACTGCGCAGGCTCGCAAAGTCTGGGTGCCCCGGGCCGGTGCTTCTAACGACTGCGCTCTCGTTGTGGTGCCGTGCGCATTTTCGCACATGGTGGTCACTTTTCGTGGCAGGCGCAAGGGAAACCTCGTGTTTTGGTGCTTCAAAATCGACTTTTCGTGACAGGTGCAAGGGATCGGAGCTGTTTTACTTCGAAGTGCAGGCGCAGCACTTTGGGCATGGTGGTGATCGTCGAGGACCTCAGATTTCGTGACAGGTGCAGTGAATCGTGACTTTTGGACATGTGGCTCGTTTGCAGATTTTGTGGCAGGCGCGGCACTCACTCTGTGACCCTTGATGTGCAGATTTCGTGGCAGATGCAGCACTGTGAACCTCGAAGCGCAGATTTCGTGGCAGGTACAGAACTTGGTGAACCTCGGAGTGCAGATTTCGTGGCAGGCACAGCACTTGGAGAACCTCGAAGTGCAAATTTCGTGGCTGGCGCAGGACTTGGTGAACCTCGAAGTGCAGATTTGCCAGTACTTTGTGCTCTCAGATGCTCACTCTTTCACTCTCCCACTCTCACTCTCCCACTTTCACTCACACTCACACCCCCACACTCGCACTCTCACTCACACTCATTCTCATCCACACTCACTCCCACTCACACTCACTCTCCCACTCCCACTCACACTCACACTCCTCACACTCACACCCACTCACTCTCCCACTCGCAGACTCTCACTCGCTCTCGCTCACACTCCGACGCACACTCACTCACCCACACTCACTCTCACCCACACTCACTCTCACTCACACTCGCACTCACTCACTCTCCCACTCTCACTCCTCACTCGCACTCACTCAGTCTCCCAGTCTCACTCACACTCACACTCCCTCACAATCTCACTCTCCCACTTTCACTCACACTCTCACCCACACTTACTCTCACCCACACTCACTCTCACTCACACTCACTCTCCCACTCTCACTCACACTCACACTCCCTCTCACTCACACTCACTCACACCCCTGGAACCCAATGCGTCTAGATCTCTAGACTTTCTGCTTACAGACCTCACACACACTGTTTGGGGTCTCTTGCCGGGATAATTTGTTTGTTTTGTTTTAATATGTTTGTTTATGTTGTTTTATTTGTTTTTTTTTTTTTTTTTCGGAGGTATTCCCTCTAAACCTTTGTCGGCCTGGTCTCAAGAATTGAATCCAAACAATAGCTCAAAACTTAGGTTTTTGTGAGGAACAGGTGGGGCCCCTCTCAGTGCCAAGGCGTCACAGTAGCGGCCGGAAGCTTCTCGACCTGAGTGAGCGGGGTGGGTCCCCGGTCGAGTGGCGGGGGCGGTCGCGTCAGGGAATGGTGTTGTCGGCATCGTCGGGGTGTTGAGTTGTTGGACCTCTAGATGGTGAAGCTGAGGGATCAAGATGAAAACGAAGAAAAAGGCCAGCAAACACCTGGTGAGGATGCTTGGGATGCTGGAAGTGCCCGGAACATTCTGCGAAAAAGCATCCAATTGAGATGGTCATGACCAATCTTCGAATTCCAAAGTTCCAGGTGGAAGGCCGATCACGGCTGATCAAAAGCAGAGCAGTGGGGGTGTTTGATCCACCCAAGGTCACTTCTCCCCATTTCAGAAAGCACTGAGCGCCCAGTCGAAGATCCTCTGCCGAGTGCCTGGCAGGGGAACAATTAAGATCTCCTCATCCTGAAAGCTGTCTAGAATCCTGAACAACCAAGTCTGAAACCTACAAGTTGGTTGATGCTACTTTAACTCCTCTCATCGTCGACCTGTCTTTGGATGTGGCACCAGCCACTCTCCGAAGAGTTCACTACATGCTCCGCGCCGTCTGGACACACGGGCAAAAACGAAGAATCGCATCAAATAGCCATCAAAATGGCATTGAAGTGCTCCCTTAAGGCTTGTTTTCGTCGTCGAGACGGCGAGCGGGAGGACGTGTCCTCTCTGCTTTTTGCGGTGCTGAGGCACCTATCATAGACGATTAGCTCAAAGTAGCTCAAAGGCCATGGGATCCCATGCAGCGGCCGAACGAGTCGGGGTTGTAGTCTGTGCCCAAGCAATCCATCCCATTCATTCTATGATACGACTCTGGAAGACCTGGTGGCACACGGCACAGCTCAAGACCTGGTGGTGCACCAGGGGCCCAGGGTATGGCCATTGTCCAAAGCAGACTTGCTGTACTTCCAGTCTCTTGAGCCTGCATTTCAGCAAGCCTCGTCAGCTGGCGAGCCGACAGGCAAAAAGAACACTGAATGGTTTGCAACGGCACGTCCCAAAAACGCGACGCAGCAGCAAAGTGGTTTTCCTCTGAATACTGAGAGGCCATCAAGTTGGTTCAGCTGGTTCTACAAAAAGTCCAATGGATCTCTAGTTGTCACTGGACCGGCATCTCTTTCCCATGAGGATATCTTTCGGCTTCCATTGCTTACAGCATTTCTGTCCAATGAGACCTGGCCAAACCTGGTGGTTTTCCCCAAAGCTGCCGCCCAAATGGCAAAGGCAGCTAGCTGCGAGGAGCGTCCCCTCAGCCCTCAGCCCGACCCCTCAGCCCGACATCAGCGCACCTCGCAGGGTGCTCCGGGCTCGCAAATCAGCACCATCCACTTCCTGAAGGGGATCGAACGCGCTTCCTCCGGGGCGACCGTCTCACGGCTTCCTCGGTGAAACACCGGGAGTTCTGGGTGCTGCCCCAAGCCGCTTCTGGGACCATTCGAGCCTGAAAAACCCGATGGAATCCCTAGGCCCTAGTGATTCACATACCTTCTCCTGAGGGTATGGTGAGGGAGACTATTTACGCTCTGGCACTTGGGGAGGTGGCCCAGTCATTCCGAACCTGAGAAGGCACGTGGATCACCTGGTACCTGGACGAGTGCGAAAATGGGTCAAGAGTTTGCATAGTACGACATAGCAAACCATTCCGAGCATGACTGGGCGAGTAGAATCTTAAGACTGTCTCCCCATGCCATGGACAACAAAAAAGTATTGAAACATGTCAAGTTCTTGGTCTCTTCAGCTTTGAAGGTCCGCCATTGTCAAAGCTTCTGACGATCTGACTCTGGCCCGAGACTGTCAGTCTGTCCCAATAGATTCCAAGTTTCTATCAACTTTCCAGTGGCCATGGACTTCAGAAAGACCTCAAGCGCTGGCAGGTGCTGCTCACGCGGAACATAAACCACTAAAAAGCTCTCAAATGCTTGGCATTGGCTGGTCGTTAAATTGCCAAGTCCTTATTGTCTGGAGGCCATCGACATAATTTTGGTGGACATTGAAATGCCAATAAGAGAAAAACACCATCACTGGTCAAGTCCTACCTACTGAACTTTGATGCCAAACTGCTATGCACAAACAAGCCTGTCGCTAGATAGTGTAGAATCGATTGTGATCCCCATTTCACTCTCTCACATAGTGGGGATGTTGTCCTTCCAAAACCCTGACTTCCAAAAAATGGGTCTCTGGAGTATGAGGTCAAAACGATAATGAACAGAACTTGGTCTCTTAAGATGTCTGCTGGGTTGGTGGCTTTGGATTCAATGAAACAGATCGCATTCCGGACGAAATCGTTCTGAAACCGGTTGTCCTGAAACCGTGTCTCCTGGCCAGCTTGTTTGAAGCAAGCTTCCGTGCAAATGTCCTCAAGGTCTTCCATGCCAGTAAGGTTGAACATAGCTAGTTCTTGCAATTGATCGTATGTTGATCATGTCCAACCTCCCTCCGGCCACTTTGGCGCTTCCTTTTTCCCATCGTCCTTGCGTGGGCTTGCAGGAAAAGTCCTACAGCGATAAACAAAGTCAGGCTTCTGCTGATCTTTGCCTCAATGCAATCCCATCCCCTTGGATAAAAATATCATGTCATGCCACGCACGTCAAAACAAGTTGTATCAAATGAGTCCTCTATATCAAAGGACATCTACGACAAATGAACAACTCAAGTTCAATCCGCCTATACTCCATTCAATATTGAGATTCTATTCAATTCCGTAGGTTCCCAGGCCAAACATGAGAAATGGATCTTGATCCAAACAACGGAAATGGATCTTGAATCTTCTCCAGGTCCCTGATCAGCATCTGAGATTTGTTGTAGCCCAGGCTTTCGCCAACAAAGGACTGAATCTCCGGCCCAAGCTGCCCCAACCCAAGGATTTCTGGACCACTTGGCCTTGTCAACTTAGGTCCTGCCTCATTTTGTCCCATCTGCTGATAAGCCAAGTTTGGCACCACACAAAAACATAAAGGATTGATGATCTCCACAAACACATTTCAAAGTATCCACCACAAATCGCTACAGGATATTGATCTAAACACCAACAAAACCTCAGGAACCTCCAGGAATAAATTTAAGTATCTTGGTCTCGACTGAGGGGAAGTAAACAAGTCACGGTCGGTTCCCTGACCATCCTGGACCATCCGGATCTACACGAGCATGAGATGGTACATGCTTCTTCACACTCCATGGGACTGGAATATATGCCTACATTGATCCCCCTGGCACCTATGGCAGTCCCATGGGTCGCGCCTGGGGTCTATAGTCTATAGATGTCGATAGATTTCAAGTGGCCGTTGCGTTTTCCAGGGGTGGGATTACGCAAGAACGACCGGCGCGAACTGGACATCTTTGATCCTCAGCGGTTTCGCCACTTCAGCGGCAAGTTCCTTGTGTCGCCCTGGCGGCCTTGGTTGGGTGAAGGTCTATCAAGCAACTCGCCAAACCCATTGACCGGGCAGATTCCAATGACAGAAGATTCAATCAAGTTTTGGTCCATTCCAGTGTTCAACAAGGCAAGAAATGGCTTCGGACATGCTTTTGAAGCGGCCTTTGTAGGGACTGGGTCCAAGTTTGAGACTAGCAACCGACCCCAAGAAAAATCACGAAGTTGTTTGGGCTCATCAACATGTTCGCTGCTGCAAACCTGCAGCCACGCGGAGAAAACCGTGTTTGCTTTGCGGTTCAGAGTCCCAAATTCTTCTCTGCTTGGGCCCTGGGTGCAACTAACCTCCGATGATTTCTCCCAGTTCCTTGTCTCTAGTCAAGTTCAGCCTCAGCGTGCCCCGTCTCGAGGGTATCAGTAAGCAGACGGACCAGGAGTGAGACTGATGACTGACTAGATGTTTGTGCAAGAGAAAGTGTTGAACTGTTCAGAGAACTAAGCCTACTACCCAAGTCTGCCATGAAAATTCGCTACTGCTAGACAATGCCTCCAACAAGAGCCGTTTTCCTTTGGGCGACAGCCACTACAGGTACCCCTCCGTGAAGCCCAATTTGCCTCGAAGCGTGCTGCGTGATGTTGTATGTAGGAGAAGCTTTCGCGAAAGGCTTCGCGAGGTTGTGTGGTGGCTACATGCTGCATACAACGGCGTTCGCAAGATGCCTTCGCGACAAAACACTGCAGATTCCTACGCAAAATGGCGACGGGAGGCTTCCCACGTGATGGAAAAAGACGAGGAAATGCTTTCGCAGCCATAGTGTCCAGAGTTGACACGCTGCGCTGTGCTCCAGGAGAAAGACGCCATCTCAAAAGGACAACCGGGGAAAAACGCAACGTCTCAAGGAATGCTGGACCTGCTCATGTCAGAAGGGTGGACCTACTCACCTCCGATTTTGTTGCTTGTCCAGGACCTTTTCAGGACACGTGCGAACTCCCGGAGCAGTGCTCTTCTTCGCTCACTCACGGCGGTCAGTGAGGGTGTGCCACGTTTTGGGCGGAAAGACCACCTGGTGCGTGTGCCACGTCGTGGCACGTTTTGGGTACAATGCTGGTATGGGAAAATCGGAACAAATTCGCCTGCGCCCATCCCACCAGCCAAATCCAACCTCCCCACGACCGGTCCACAGGTCCAAGCTTCGGTTCTGCAGGAGCGTGGGACCCGTGCCGTGTGGCAGCGTGGTCTCCGTCGTGTCCAGTTCCACCGACTTGCCTCGGTGAAGGACATCGAAACGGTCACCGGCGAACACACCGCGAAGAAGAGATGTGTCAAATGGAAGTGGTTTCAACATGTAACATGGAAGTGGCAAATGGCCCCTGGAAATACCAGTGTCCTCTACAAGCAAAAGGATTTTCCATGTCGCTAGTTCCAAGGAGGGTACTCTCTGCCCTCCCCACGAAGTTGCGGTCGCCGTCCACCCCTTCACCACCATTGGCCGGTCTGGGGGAGGCCTGTGTCCCTTGAGAGGACGTCACTATACAGTAAGAGTGCAACCCGGTAAACCCAAAGACTCCACAAATCCAGCGTCTGCACCAAGCTCGTCAAAGAAGTACTTTGGCCGTTCAAATAAACATGGTGCATGGCCCCTTGGAAGGCTCTACAAATGAGGGGCGTTTCACTCTTACTCACCATTGCTCAGCATGGTTTTTGTCTCACCTTGTGGGGAAGGATGGACCAAGGGGATGAGCCACCGTGGTTGTAATTATGTTGTGGTTATTGGTGCTGTTGCCCAGGCACCCTAGGCTTTTGTTACAACCTTGACTCTTGCAGTCCAATATCTGCAATCGTGGGGTTTTGGAGCAGAAAAGGACAACAATCACCAGACCCGTGGCCAGTACAACCAATATCAGTGAGGTTTCTCCTGACCAAACGGTATTGTCACATTCAGCAACCCAACTTCATCTGACCGGGCGGCGCACCACCATACGAAGCTTTTCCAGTAGGTGCTCCGGGTCTTCCTCGCGGCTGAGCTCCAAGGCAGCTGTCTTGGCCTCGTCGCAGAAATCCCAGGTGCAAATCCACAAGTAGCGCTTCCTGAAAGAGTTGCAGTGGCTGCGGCAATGACTGGACAGCCAACGTTTCAACTAGGTAGGTGATGATGGTGGGAATCTGGAGCTTCTCAAAGCCGATGCTTCCTGCTGGATCGTCCAGCTGTCTGAGCACCCCAGCAATGGATTCTATCAAGCAGTTTTCTGAAAATTGTCCAGACTAAGAATCAACATATCTATTGCAATATATTCCCCTCCGCAATATCAAAGCCACGGCCCGAAGAAATTACGGAGCCGCTGCTTGGCTCAGCAAACACTGTCAGAAGTGAACATGTCCAAAGATGTAAGCAGCTACTGCATGTATGAAGGAGGGGGATGCACCATCAACCACAAATAAAGACTCTAGTGCAATGACAAAAAAACTACATTGAGCTACCCCGAGTGTTCTCATGACCGCCACCACATGCCCACATTGCCACCATCCAGAATATGTCGAACCATGCTTCTGGCGGGTCAATGGGCGCATCAAAAGGCTGCTGTTCGTCCAGGCGGTCCAGGGGTTGTCGCTGCCCTTGCATTGAAGCGAAGACAAAAAGATCGTGAGCTGGCATCCAATGAAGACCATGAGCCTCAGCGACTGAGCTGCGTGCTGCTGAGGTCATGTGGGGCTGCCAACTGGCTGGAAACCGCCGCACGGGCGTCACACTGGTCCACGCGGTCGAGCGCAGGACCACGGGGACTCGTGGAAGAGCAGGCTTGGAAGACCTGGTCTTCTTTGAAGGGTGCATGATGGTTTTACCGTAGATTTGGAGGCTAGAGGCTAGCTTGTGACTGGATCTCTCGTCTGCCATGGACCAGACCGCAAACCCCAAGTCTGGATCAGGACTTCCGGCCCCCTTCCACAGTTGAGCAACTGAAAGATTCCTGGAAGCTGCCAGCCATAGCAAAGTGCACAAACTTGAAGTGTGAAGGCCAGAATGACCTGGGCGGTCCTAGTGCCCAGTCTTGGTCTGGTTGGGCAGTTTTTCCACTCGGACCATCTCCGACTGCAAACACGGAAGTTGACAGGGATAAAGGAATACTTAGATATTATAAGCCTCTTGTAATTTCTGGGCACGTGCTTGACCCCGTACGGAACAAAGAAGCTATCTAGTGGGACAAGTCAAGCATTTCACTGACTTACAAGTTAGTCCCCTGAGCCGCTGAATTCAATAGATTTGCAATACGAGGTATCAATGTTTATCATGTTTCTTCTACCTTGGCGAGTTCCGCCCGTCAGCGATCTCTAGTCATCTGGCGGATAGAAATGGGGAGAAACTACAGTGAATGGAATGGAACAATTCCTGTCAAAAAATGGGCTCCCAACTGGTTTGCTCCACTCTTGAGCGCATCGATTGCCTGGGAAAAAAGGAGCATCGAAGTGGTGATTTGGTGGGTGCCATCCAAGACACTGAACCCGAAGCCATGAGGGCAGCTGTTTCCTTCGTAAGCCAACAGCAGGGGATGACACTGACCCGCATGAGGAACGTCAAACAGGAAGAAGCGCGCAAGCTTTGAAAGGCCAAATGGACTTGCTTTTTCCTTGGCTGTGCCGAAGTCCCAAGACCACCAAATGCTCAAGTAATATGAAATGATGTAGCAGCAGCATGAGTAGCAGCAGTAGAAGTAGTAGCAGCAGGAGTAGTAGCAGTAGTAGTAGCAGCAGCCATAGTCGCAATAGTAGTGGTAGTAGTAGTAGTAGAAGGAGTAGTAGCAGCAGTAGTAGTAGTAATTAGTATGGGCAGCAGTTTCAGTAGCGGTAGCAGCAGTAGCAGCAGCACCAGCAGCAGTATTGTGACTGGAGGGTTCTCCAAAAGCTTACGCACCGAACGAGTATCATGGAAGTGGATGGTTTTACCGCTGGGAAAGCACACAAATTCATACAATTTCCTCTGCTAACATGTGGTTTATCCACTTCCATTGAACGTGAGCTGAGAGTCACGAGCACAACGTGACAAAAAGCTTGAAGTCAAGACACAAAACCCTGAAGCATATGAAAAAACACGTCAACACGAAAGAACATCAACCTATTGATGCATATTGACGCGCATCGGCGTCGCACAACATTAGTTAGTTTATTTTTGTTTGACGGTCTAAATAAATGGGGGGTAGGTTGCAAGTATGGACTGTTGCTGCACTGGGGGCACGACTCAAAAAGCCACAACATCCCCGATGAAGGAATGAACAAGCTCCATGCGCCAACGGGAGAAATGGAGGTCTTTTTCCCGCAAACCAGTGACATGATCAAACACCTCTCTATGTGGGTGCCCCCCTTGCCAGCACCAGTCCCCTGTGTTGGAGTAGATTAGATCCTTCCATGCCTCGGTGTTGTGGATTTGTGAGGCAAGCTAACGAACACACCGAACACATCGGCACAATGGGCGGGGGCACAAGCCCCAGGGGGGGCACCGGGGCAGAGTTTGGCACCTTTATGGGCACCTGCGTACTGATCCACCCAGATGAGCTGCTCACTTGCGTACTGCTCACTGATGACACCAATGAAGATATTCATCACAAAGACCGAGAAGAAAAGCACCTCACCGAGAAGAAAAAACGACAGGGCCCGCAGCACATCCACCGATGGGACACGGCCGGGGTCCGGCAAAACAAGCTCTCCAAACACAAAGGCGGCTGATCTCTTAACACAAAGCACACTTCCATACAGCACAATGAGTTCCAACTGATCCTCCGGCGGATCTTTCGGCAATCCTTGAGTGATGAGAGTGGTAAAGCTGTGCCACAAGGTCTGCGGCCACCATTCGTCTGCACGCGTGCGCACAACATACCTTGCAGGTTGAGAGAAAGGTGAACAACATGTATGATCTACGCTGCAATTGCAAAAACAACCGCAGGTTTCATGAATTCTTTTTGGAGGGTGATTGACCTACCAAGTTGGGTTGTTTGTTTGGTGCTGCTCACACTTCTTTCAATCAAAGGCATAGGTTCCTCATGGACCAAGGGTTTCTCAGTAGACCATGTACTCATGTTTGAGCCATATCCATGGCACAAGCTGCTCGTCTTACAATCCAGAATTGTGAACAAAATGTGTAGAGCACAAAATCTATCACTGTACGCTTGTGTTTTGCGGCCGGGATGCATTGCATGCGAGAAGGCACAAAAGCCCAGCAATGTGAAGCTGATGGCTGGTAGCAGGCCGGCAGCCAGCTTGTGGAGTGGTAAGAATGCATAGCCTCACTTTGTGATTTTTGTGCAGAATAGCAACAGTTATTAAGAATGGCAACGCAACGTGACTGGTATGGTGGGAAACGAATGCCTGAGTTTCTAGGACATCGGAAACTTGAGGATCCAAAAAAGTTCAACCGCCTTTTGTTTTTTCGCTGAGGAGCCAATTTGCCGAGAGAGCATGACACCCTCAAGCAATCGCATCCAATAGATCAAAATCACGCAGACTTGGAGAGCACGTGATTCATAATGCCTCGGCTTGGCGCTGCGACTTAGCCACTGGCAGGAAGTGATGAAACAGGGGGCCAATGTATCAGCAACATCTAGATCCTCTTTATGATTAACTATACTTTCATTGACATATATTAACATCAACCGTCATGCGGCTCGTTGCCAGAACCACCACACGGTAAACGAAGGCATTAGGGTCAGTCTGACTGAAAAACAATTATATTCTGGATTTCATTGGATTTCGGCAGAAGCCATCCAGTGCTCACGTTCTTCCTGGCAGTCCACCCACTCCCCACACTACTCTCCCATACTCTTGTCTCTACCGGACGGTGCCTCAATGGGCCACGGCTTGTGCCGATGAGAGGCCACAAAAGTAGAATTGGAAGAAGGCTCCGTGTGACATCCCAGAAGTTCCCCGGGCGGAAGTAGCTGCCGAGGCCCTTCATGCTGGCGTAGCAGCCAGCCAGTTCGGCCAATTCAAGGAATACATCCACCAGGCCTTTGGCAATGATCCAATCTGCTACAACTCCTCAGGGTAATCATCTCGTGCAAAAAGCACCCCAAAACAAACAAAGGATCACTGAGACACTCCATGTGACTGGCATATTTACATACATTGACCCTTGAAACCACCCCACTGTATGGACTCATATGCCAGTCCCATGGAGTGTCTTGGTCATGGCGAACTTCCCGATTTCCTCCGGCATGACGGCCCCGTGGGGCGCAATATGAGCTGTGTCTTCACCGCACTCGGGAAGCCATGACGAACTAGTCGTCCCACAGGTGTGTTCTGCAGAGCGCTTCAAACGTACCAAGAGCACGTACCAAGCGTCTCAAACCTTTTTGCGCTTCCATCTACGCACTCGTCCAATTAACAACCTGACTATATAGCTAGCTATCTATAAATTGAGAAGCCTCCTCTATGCATTCAACACTTGACAGTAACTGGAGGAACACCGTGTTTGAACAAGCTGCTTGACAAAAAACACGACGCAACCCTGCCTGTTGTGATGCCCTCCTTGACAAAGCTAGGCTCAAACACAGCAGAAAGTCCCGTGGTCGATTGAAGGCCTGAAACCAGGCGGCTACTGAAACCAGCCAACTATAGTGGGTTGAGAGGAGATGGAACAATCCCAAAGGTGGTTTATACGGACCCCTATACAAAAGACATCTTGGGGGTTGTGCCATCTACTCTCAATCCACTGTAACTTTTGGACTCTGAAAATGGATCAACTCGAAAACGATTTTCCACTCGAACCCGGGTGGTCAATCTGCAGGAGGGGCCTCCAAACAAACAGCCGTGATGCTGATTGATGCCATTTTCCTGAAAAGCAGTTAGAGTCGGAGAAGAGAACGGATATGAGTTCGATGTGCCACCCTTGAAGGCACAGAACAACACATCTTTTGATATAATATCCTTTTCCAAGACGATGAGCCTTTATTCATCAGAACAGAAGTGCAGGAAACAACAGCGGCTTGAAGTCAGACCTGGGTGCTAGTGACTGAATCCCTCGGACTGCGTATGGTCCTGCTGCGGCCTGGAATCTCCTCATGAGACATCAAGGTCTCCAACACCAGCAAGACCAAGCCCCAAGCAGAGATGGATGTTTGCACAGCTTCCACACATGCCGAGCCGTTCCTCAACCACAGGTGGAGAAACATCAACATCACATATGCCGATGCTAAACAAGTGTTTGCTTGGACGAAACCGTTTGGAAGGCACGATACGTGGAGTTTCCGCATCAAACCAACCCTCAGAGCGGACAGGAACGTGATTTCATCCACTCATGAGCCATTTCTGGCCGCTGCGTCTGGCGGTCCATTTCAACCAAAGGACGTTTGTGGCGGTCGACCGCGCTTTACTTCACGTCCCCCAATCCCTTTTTGGGCACCCCCGAAATGCGAAGACAAACGAACTCAGGTCTGTCTCCATTCGGGGCTCCCGGATAAAAATGGATATGATTCTGTAGTGTTGGCATCCCTGATTCTGCTTGTTATATGTGTTACATTATATGCACTGTGATCTGAAATAGTTGAAACTTTGTAAGCCAACCTCATCATAACATCTCAAAATCGCTCAAAGTCCACAGAGGCTTGGAACAGAAATAAGTGAGAGATTTGAGCCTACACGTGTTCCTTCACATCTTGTTCGGAGCTCATGATTTGACACACCACGCAATAAAACATGCTCAAATGATCTCAAATGATCTTCGGCGCTCAAGCATCTCCACATCTGATTTTTCCGCTTTCAGGTCAGGAGTGGTCGATTTTGCATGTCTCACAACAGAAAAAAACGCCGCGAGGACCCCCAGTCTGGAAGAATACTTGCTATAAGGCAGAAACCATTGGTGCTGGGTGGGACTATCCGTTTCTTTCACTTCAGTCAAGCATGCGCCTGTGGTGCTTGCAAGGGTCCAAAATGTGTATCCAACAGCAGCACGCACGGCAACGCAGTTGAAGAGGAAGAGCGACTCATCACCACCTAAAGCTCGGCGCAACAGCGCAGCAAAACAAATCAAAAGGAAACAAAACACTGAGCTAAAGTCTTTGTTTTGTTTCCTCTATTTTATATCCGACTTACCTCTTAGCCATTAGCCGTGAGAATCCCACCACAAATCCCAAGAACTCTCCCTCTTGAGCCCTCCCCTGACTGTGTTATGCTTTTCTCCTCTGAGCTGCTCAAGATGGCTGAGAAGAAGATGGGAGAGATGAGGTCCGGAATGCTACAGACCTCACAGGGTTTGGTCCCGAAGCCCTCTTCTCCGTCTCCACGTCTTCAAACCTTCGGCTTCATGGTTGAGTCTTCTCTATCTATCGAGTCTTCATGGTTGAGTCTTCTCTATCGAGAATTCTTCTCCCCAAATGCTTGACTAAACCACCGACTTCGCGTTTTGCTTTGCTGAACCCGGGCGCGATGGGTGGCCGTTTCCTTCCAGGGCGGTCTGCTCCCGTCACATGGCCTGGATCTTTGTGTCGCGCATCGGTGGCTCCTTGAGGTCGGTGAGCCGTTGGTGCCAGTGGGGCGCTTGACTACCTTAGGGAGGACGAGCTGACCAGGTGGAGAAAAAGAGACACAGAGAGCCGAAGAGGAGACCGAAGAGGAGACATCAGGAGGCTCAAGGCTCATACTATTGTACATATATCACCAAAAAGAAGTACTCAAAGGTTTACTGCGGACGGCTTTGCCTTAGTAAGTGTCTGGAACGGATCGGCGCGGGCGAAAAGGACATCCAATTGCTACAAAACCCATCCCCGAAGTGGCTCAAGGTTGCCGAGCCGTGTGAACAAGCGAAGCATACAAAACAAATCAAAACAAAACCTTACAGGAACGGCTATCAGCTTACGTATACTATACATATATATATATATATAGTAATATCCCATACACTCCATGTATGGAATATATGCCACCATTGACCCCCCAAACCACCCCAACTGATCGGCAAATATGGAATAGATGGAGCGTCTGGGTATATATGAAAAGAACAGCACATCGTTTCTTTCGCGGGTACTTAACATCAGAACCGTGTGGATCCAGCTACAGCAGCCAAGCAAAAGCTGCACGGCTAGCCGAGACTCCGTGGAAATTAAACAATCTTTATCTAACCAGCTGCAGGCTGCAAGATTCGTCGAAGCTCCAAGAAGCCTCGTGGGTGTAGAAATAGAGGCAAGGCATGGACGTTTTAAACCACTTCCTGATGACGTCGAAGTGAAGCAAGTGCTCTGTCGAAGTCAGTCTTTCTTCTCTAAAAGGCATGTACATGTTGAAATTGATCACCCATCCAAATATAGACATTACACACATATACAAGCATCCAAGAGTAACAACTGAACAAACACAAATGATAACCCATGACATACCTGGATCTTGGAAACGACACCAAATAATTGCCTTTTCAAGAACAAATGCCGTTACGGCGTCTTTTCTAGAAAACGGCGGCTTTTTTGACCTGGCCGTAAACGGTCGAATTAGACACCAAAAGGAAACGGCGCTTTTAAGCCATTTGGTTGCGGTGTCTTTTCACTCAAAAAGGCCTCCGACAACAGAAGTGTGCCGTTTGAAGATCCAGGTGTTCGTACTGTCATCGGGTTTGTTGTCTTTCTCGCATATTCTAACCAGTCACGGATGACCACATAGACAGGAACTTGAACAAAACGCGGTGCTAACCTTTTGATCCCCTGGTTTGAGATCACTTAGGCTTGTAAAAGGTCACTTAGGACTTGGGGTGCTAACATGGTGTTTTTTGGCCTTTGGGTGACAATCAGTGGTCTGATGATGTCTGATGCGCGATACGCACCATAAAACTCCGATTGACCCAAAACGGCATCTGCAACGCCTAGGGATCCAGTCGTACCTTCTCAGAAGGCATGACTGGACCCTCCTGGCACCCAATGCAGTCCCACCTTCTCAGAAGGTACTTGGATCCCTAGGGACAATGCATGAAGGGACATCCGAACAAACTACATCAAACCGCTCCAAACTTCCCCCGCGAGATACTGGGCATTCCGCGAGATACGGTCCCAGAACGGTTGGCAAACATCCCCTATTGCTGAATCCTATGGATATTCCTCTCTTACTTCGTTGCCCATCTCAGCATGGCAGCATGACCTGAGTAGATTGGCCCCCCATTGTCGTGACAACCAATCCAGAGCGATCCGCTGCTGACGTGCGGATCCACGTGTTCTTCGATGCTCGTGGGTCCCAAGAGTCCTGTTTGTGAAGGTCGATTTGGTCTCCTGAATGAGATTCTTTTCTAGGGGGGAGCCACCCAACCAAGTCGGCCATTCCCAGCTTCTCCGAAATCCAACCCAATGAAACAGTCGAGTTGAGAGTCTGCAGCCAGCTCGAGGTGAAGCTAATCCGCGCAGGCAAAGGGTGCCGCCCCGGGCTTTCCACCCGTGGCTGGCCTGAACGTCGATGGTTCCGAAGGATTTCGTGTCACTGTGGCCCAGTCTTAATATGCAAAATATCATAAAGGGCAACTATTATAGGGTCTATAAGCAGCCCAGCACCACACGTCTTGGCTTGACATGACGCTGTGGCTCGGTCCAAAGGTCTGCCAAAATGTCTGGGTATTCAACAGCCAAGTTGCAAGTGGCTGCTTCCAACAGGGTGGCCGCTGCGTCTGGGAAGTCATGCAGCAAACGCGCGATGTCCTGCGAAGACCCTGAAGACACTACAAACTCCCATAGGTCCGTGACTGCGAGGCAAAACGCCCCTGTCGTTCGCCCAAACGGCCCTCAAAGAATGCGATGTTTGTGTCAAAGGAGGGAACTTCTTTGTGAGGCCAGGTGGTTTGAGTGCCTAATTTGAGACAAATCTATCCTAAATTCAAAATCAGACTTGTCTCATCTTTTCTACGGGGTAGTGCCGCACTGAATTCGTCCGGTTTGCAAGATGCTGACAGGTTCAGCCAAACAAAGCTCGTATCAGGCCAAGTCAAGTTGCCAAAAACACATAGCAACAAACAAAGTTAAACCCTGCATGTGTCTTGAAGAAACAATTGAGCGTCGCGTCACTGTCCTCGACCGAGAATTTCTGTGACAACTGCGCCGACAACTCCCCTTCAGACATCGTTTCGCGCAAGCGGGAGGTAAAGCTGGGGATGCACTCCGGCGCTTTGTGGATGAAGACCTTCCAATGGCGAGCGGCGAACGGCGAAATCTTCCAATCACGTGGAGCATTATTCTGTCGCACTAACTACATTGAGGAAACGTGTCAACCCACCCAGGTAGCTCCACCAAACTGGTGATACCAAACATTGCGAGGGTCAATGTGATTAGAACTCGATTGCCACAATGACTTCACATAACCTCCATGACCTCCATGACTTGGACCTAGCATTCTGACGCATTCACATAAAGCCGTTCCAACTTCCAGAAAGCCTTCATGCTTCCAATGGTGGGTGCCGCAGCTCTGGCCAAGGCGTCCTTCTTCATGCGGCACCTGAACCGGATCAATCGCAACATCGAACCTGTTTATCTGACACTTCCCAACATGGCTAGAGGCCAGAGGAGGCTGCGCAAGCCTCAAACAAACGGACAACAGTTTCTCTGGGCGCTTGGGGAGCACCCATTGCAATGGTGGATGCTCGCCAAACTGCACGTTCGCCTCGGCACACGGCTCATGGCAGGCAAGGCGCCCTTCGATGCCCACCTCCAAGGGTGTGGCGCCCGTGGCGGTGATGGCCACCTCCACGGCCTCCAGGGCCTCCGCCGCCTCTTGCTCGGGCAGCTCCTGGGTCCGCTGCAGCTGCCTCATGAGGGGAATGCAGCGGAGTTGCTTAGGTAAGGCAGGTGAGGTGAATAAACCCCAAATGGATCCAGATGCTGTAAGAGTCATCTCGACTGATTTGCTCAAAGGGCCCTGCGCCAGGTACAATTGAACCTCCACTGTTGTCTTGGGCTTTGCAGCGGCGTCACATGATAAGGACCGCGGCGTTTTGGGCCGCGCGAGAACGCATTGCTTGATTTCCAGGGCAACCACGCAGGCCGCTGTGATCAGTGATCCACACCACATAGTCGGCTGCCGGCTCTAGGTTCGTCGTTGCGATGGGGGTGGATATGGAAAACAAGCATCATAGCACTCATAGTGCAACCTACAAATAGCAAAGCTATAGAAGATCGAACAAACAAGTCGATCGTACTTTGTTTTGGAATTCCTCCACTGGGAAACCCTGGTCTTGCTTCCGGCCGCCGGCTTGATGCTGCCGCGCAGAAAAGGGGAACCTTCCACATGTTTTCTGTGAACGAATAGGGGCATGACGTCATGGCAAAGTAGTATGCTGGAGTCGAGGGTATAATGATGCTTTCATTTGCGACGTGCGGTTTCTTGCTCGAGCGGCTTCGCACTGCTACTAAATCCCCTGCTGCAGTTGATTCATGATGCATGTAGGTCTACGGTCTACGTCTACGTCTGTAGGATTTGAGATCGTAATCCCTTCTCCAAGGGTTCTAATGTTCCAATGACTCTAATCCACTTTGGCTCCATCCTAGGAAATTATACTCAATAAATTTAACTAAAAGTTCTGACAAGCAAGTGGGCCATGATCGGGGTTGAAACTGTACTTTTGCCAATCTGAGCTAAACAAAAAAGAAAGAACATCATGGACCACTGCAAATGCACTTATGGCTCCTTCTTTTTGCCTTTCCGGAGTGAAAGTATTTCAACTAAATAGTCCAAAGAACTTCTCCCAGATGTGGCTGCGAACAGCGCTGATGGTCTGCTCATTGCCAGTCTCGAATGCCACATGCAAACAGCTCTGATTACAAAAAGATTTGCTCTCAATGTCACCTCCTAGGCTGCATCATCTTTCGATTGGGTCACTTGGTGGCTCGTGTTGATGCCCCCCATGGGGACATCCTTGAAACACAAGTCGTGCAATGCTGGAACTTCTGCTTGCCCTCTTTCAAGTATTACACTCCTGAAAACTAACATGGACCCTGAGAATGGCACCCTCAAAGACTGCTTTGCTCTACAAACCAGTGGTTTTAAGGGCCCATGTTAGTTTTCATCGGGATATATACTAAGTCACTAAGTCCATTAACTAAGCCATCAGTTCTGGCGGAACTGCTTGTGACTCAACGCTTTAACCAATGTGAGCTTCTCAAATCTGGGTTTTCACATGCGAGCAACCGCCAAATTACCTGCAAATGATCAATTTAGTACAGAGCGGTCGTGAACATTCGGCGGGAATTTGGCCTCCAACATGCAGTGACAGGCCCCCCGATGTTGAATGATTTTTCCATGTTGCCGCATGTCGTCACAGTTTTTGGATGTGCTCACATTGTCACAGGCAGCAGAAATACAAAGCTTAAAGAACTGTAGGCAACAGGTACATGGCTACTAGGTAACACATGGTAACACATAATTATGGCGTAAAAACGAGCCGTGGCTACTAGGCAAGTGGTTTACTGGGCTACTAGGTTTACTGCAGCGAAACGTCCTCCTGGACGGCCATGCCACCATGCCGCAGCGAAGGACGGGTCGGACGGGCTGACGGTCGAAGGACGTGTTCCGGCAGTGGCTTTGATTGATGGTGAAGCACTTATGGCTTGCACTTCCTCTTTCACACCCCCCAGTCCTTCTTCACATAAGTAGTCGATGAATTCTCTGGAGCCTCCCATGCCCTCGCCATACACCGCAGCGATCATGACGTTGTAGAGCCTCAACCCGAGGTGCGTGGTCACTCCGTTGACCTCTCTGCTCTGTTTGCCTCTGTCCCTATGAAAAAACTCCTCTGGTCACTTGACTCGAAAGAGGGAAGACATAACAACATATATATATATATATAACAACTACTGGCTACCTCAGTTTCCCTTGAAAAAAGGAGTTTCCCTTGAAAAGAGGTTAACCTTTTCGATTGACTAGTAGGGAAACCAATCCCCAAAACAGGTTAAAGGACTGTTTGAAGGACTATAGACTATATAACGTCTAGCTTGCTATAGTGCCAGTAGAGCTTTGTGACCGTGTGGTTCACGTGCTACAGACGCCCGTGCGGTGTTCGCACACCGCTGCATTCCAAAGAACAACATGATCAACCATGCTCAAGATCGTCCTTACAACTTAGAACATGCAAGAACAACATTCACAATTGAAACCAACTCAGTAAGGGTGACAGTGTTGCGGAAGACTACAACGGGGGACAGCACCTTGCTATCCTAAGCCCTCCAAGCCATGGCTTTCTTGCAGCTCTTTGACTCGAGAAAAAGATGCGCGTACCTCAGGATATCTACCATGTTCAATTGACTGGGCATGGCCGATGGTGTGCATACATCTGTTGAGAGAGAATTATCCCATAGATGAAATGGTAATGTGAGGATATCCACCAAAAACATTGAATTGTATATAGTGGACGTGTGCAATGTTTTTCTCTCGACTCTACTCTGGGCATACAGTAGGGCATCTCTGGCACTTTTCTGGGCACACAGGAGCACAGTAGTATCACACAGGATCTACTCGGCGCACCCGAATCAGTATGCAGGTAAACATCATCCATCGACGCCTTTTCTCATGCTTCGGGCAAGCTTCGGACGGCCAGCCCCAACCACCTCACTCTCCACACTTGCGCGGTACCGCAGTAGCTCATGAAGCATGAACTTAAGACCACGACTCGCAGCGATGTGAATCCTCACTGAGAGAACAGGGAATGGGTCAAGTCTAAACCAGTTTCAAACCCCAAACAAAAGGTTGTGTTGTGTCCTTGGCTATTGTAAAGGTTGTTCCCTGGCCCGAAACCAAGGATCGGTTTTGCAAGCACCTGTTTGTAGGCGAAGTCAATATTGGGATCTTGCCCTTGACGCAGCCTCTCGACCACTTCTTCGAGTCGATCCTCCAAGACCATCACGTGGAAGTCTGTCCCCCAGCAAACCTCACACGTCGCCGTCGCCGACGTCGCCTGGTGACGTCGCCTGCCTGGTTGAGAGAAAGATCAAAGTCTGATTCCGGAACAACTGCAGTGATGATATCGGTCCCCACACTGGCCTATCGAACCACACTGGCTCATCGAACCACATTGGCCCAACATTGGAACAGTGTCCTTGGGTACCCGCCACCCCTACTGTCTCTGTAGGATAGGGTCATTACAATGGATGCACAGCTCTATGATACAGATGGCACGACTCCCAAACGTTCTATTTTTTAACATGGGAGTCCATATAAGCCAATTGAACAGAGCGTGCCATCTACTCTCAATCAACTATCATTATTATGTTACTCACCCTATGGATCCACATACCTTCTCAGAAGGCAATTGGACCCTCAAAGCCTACATAAATAGTCTCCAATTACCTTCTGAGAAGGTATGTGGATCCATAGGGTAATAGCAATGGCCTCCAACCTAATTAATAGCGATGACCTCCAACCTAAGAGCGTCCTTGCTACTAGTAGTAATGCCGTAATGCCCATTAAAAAAGGAATAAAACACCACCAAGATGCTCGGTGATTCCAGTGAAAGGACACTGGCCGCTCGCTCCGGTCGCCCTGTATGGTCTCGTTCTGCAGCAAAGGGCGTTGATCCGTTGCAGTCGCCATCGCGGCACTAAAATCAATGGTTTGGATTAAAACTAGGTCAGTTTGAAAGTGGATGATTGTTGTTTCATTGGTTCTTTCAAGTCGTAGATGTGGAGTGGTTCTTGACTCATCTGGCTTCGACTGGACGGGACGAAGGACTAAGAGCTCGCAGCTCGGACGCTGACTCAGCACCAACTGGTGGACCTCGCATCCCAGTGGGTGACCGCACAGGTCGAAACATGTTCACCGACATGGGGGGAAAACGGGTGACGCTTCTTGTTACCAGGTTACCAATAGCGATGCCAGGAGCGCCCCGGTCGTAGCGTCCTTTGCTACTAGTAGCGGTGCCCTTTGTTACTACTAGTTGAATGACATATATTAGATAATTAATGATATATTATATATATTGCGCGTTATTTGCGGGCAATAGCCAAACGGCTGCTGCAAATGCCGTGGCAACTCTATCGACCGGCTGTGACGAAACAGAAAAGGAAGGAATTGATTTATGAGGACTACGATTCGGTCAGGAATGACGAGAGGTAAAGAAAGTGGAGGAGAAGGCCTGTGCATCAAATTTCCCCGGCAAGACTGAACTGATTGGGGGGTTATGAATAGAGGATAGTGGGGTTTATGGGGGACCCCTTTGGGAACTTGAACAACTCATTTGTTGGATAGGGTGTGAAACACATTTTATGAAGGAATTTCTGGGAGTGATTTTGGTATGTTTTGGTTTCTGATCGATTTTTCAAGATCTGAGGCTAGGTGAAGAGCAGTGAGATTTGATGATCGCAAAGAGCATTGAGATCATTGAGATGTACAAGTTTTGGGAAAGGACTGGGTGAGGAGGAGGCTGAAAATATGGAAGAACATCAATTGGTTAAGAAGCATGGAGGATGCAGTTGCTGCCAGTGAGTTTTCATTGCGTTTGCTGCACGTATCACATCCGCTCACCAATTTGGCCAATATCCTATCCAATGAGTCCCACTGTATAGTCAAACTGCCAAGGCATGAGCCAACAATGAGCCAACATGAGCAAAAGTTTTCTTGGGAGGTAGGGTTTGAAGAGCATTCCGGAAGCATTGAATTTGCTGTAACCTTAGCCAAACATGAGCTCGAACCGCGCGTTCGCGCGTCCAAGAACCATACCACCAAGCTTTTTGGCCAGTGAACCCCACATTTCCATCCTTTCCCATCTCCACCCGACAGGCTGGGGGGCTCACGAACATGCCGGAGAGCACAGGACCGTTGGTGCCGGTGTCCACCTCGAAGAGATAAAGAAGTCAGAAGCCAGCTAAGCCATCCTGGAAAAAATGTGTTAGTCAATGATTCATCTTGGAACAAGCAAGTCATCTTGGAACTTCAGAAACAGAAGTCAGAAGTCAGCTTGATTTAAATTGCTCCAAGTCGTAGGGAAGGATGTCAAGTGGTGCACAGCCGAAGAAGAACCCATTTTGTTTGAATGGCGACTGATTCATTGAGTGGCCCAATTGTTGACAGAAGGAATCCTTCACGCGAGGAAAAGCCATCAATATCGCAATGATGGCTTAATGAATCTCTCGTTTTTCTCATGTGTTGTCTTTCATTTCCAGGGGCCCTTCCACCTCAGCCCGTGCAAGTCCAAGTTGGCCTATCCCGAAACAGCAACTAACTAACTCCTTCCGCAAGCGCGGAAAGCTTTCTCAGGAGGTCGGTCTCGTCTTGTGGGAGTTCTGTCCAATGCTGTGCATCTAACAGCAGTTACAACATGTAACCCATGAGAGGCCTTGTCCAAGCCTGTCCCCATTCTTTGATCTCTTCACCCCCCCCAATTGGCCCATCCGCCCATCCGCTGATCGCACCACGAAGCGCGTGGCAGGGTCGGATCCATCGCCTGGACCCGCCAGCCGCTGAGAAACGAACGGCGTTCGTGGCAGCCGATCGATGGCGTCCGGCGTCCGGCGTCCACAAACGACCAGAATGGAGGGTTCTCTCAGTTGGTTGAAGAAATCTCCCAAGTTTCCAAGGAGGTCTTCCGTGACCGCCACCGAAGCAAAGCAGGGGTTGCAAAGGATGTTGGCTTGGAGGCTTCCACGTCCGACTGCCATTCTGCTGCCACGTCTTCCGCGCCATTCCACGCCCGTCCGATCCGTGCTGGACAGCACCGCCCGAGCGAGTCCGAGATCCAAGTCCTCCATCCCTTCCGCGCGTCCGGCCGACGCGAAGTCCCCAGCTTCCTCCCACGCAAAAAACAGCTGGATCACAATTCTCATGATGAAACGTCCGAAGCAAAGACGTGAACAACAAGAATTTTGGGGGCAAGCCTTCCATGCACGAACTGCTTACCGGAAATTCGGACGTGCTCGCGGGCAGGATTTAGGCAAGACTACAGATCTTGCAACTGCACCCTGCCAATTCCACAGCGGTGCAGTGCAGGTGGAAAGTAAAGAGTCATCAAATCAGCAACTTCATTCCAAAATTATCAGCTACGTCTCCCCTCTACAGGCATTCAAACTCAAATGGATTCCGTCTCTGCGTTCGTCTTTCAAGGCCTTTGGCCATCAAGCCCACATCTTGCTGCAGAGTGGCAAGCCTAGAACTGTCCAAGAGCAGTGAGCTGGCTTTGACTAGGTCAGCCTGGTGTCTTAGACATTCTCAAAGTATATAAAATAACAAACCAGGATAACATCTCTGCGTCCCGGCCTGCCTGAAGGTTAACCTGCCCCCGACAAGAACAATACTCACAGAATGGTTCCTCACAAAATGTTCAATTTGCGTGCTCTCCTGAGAGTAATTTGATGATAGAACTATTTGTCAAAACAAGACACACATAGTATAGCAATGTATAGCAACCACTTGTGGAGACCAAAGCACATTGTTATTTTCTTGCCAAATTTCATAATACCAACGTTCTATACTTCGACTTCGACCTGTTAGAGGATACACAGGAAACAAACCAAAACTTTCAAGCTGATAGAACCCCCAAACGAGAGCAAACACAAACTTTCAACGAATTGTAGATGTACACCTATAGATGGAAATAGTGTTTCCATGACTTGTTTCATGATGTGGACAAACTGGGGGCCCAGTTCTGCCGCTCTTTTCCGTTGCTTTCCTCGATCCGAGGCCCGGGCCACCAAGTACGATCGCTGGGCTCAGCCACCCGGAAGCACACCCGGCCTGGATCGGAGGATCGGGGGGGTCGATGATCGCTGTGGCGCCACACCGCATTTGCACACGCATGTGCACCCGCACCCTTCCCCAATGGCACCAATATATCTCTGTATACTTGTTAGTCTGATGAAAAGTTTGCAAGCAAAGAATATCCAAGAATCACAGGAAAAGGCAGAATTTTCGATATGGATGTTTTTCAATGTTTCATACGAGTACTAGTCTAATATTGATGATTTTAGTCAAATAACTTTCCTAGGCGACTTTTCCGTCTTGAAGAGAAGACACCCCGGGTGTCCATCGTTCTTTTGGGACCCCCTATTAACAAAACGGCACCGGTTCTTTTGTATTGGGGGGCTGTGATAGGTGCAAGGGATTAGTGTATATCGCCAAGTATCATCGAACAGTTATCAATTGGACAATGGTTAAGCTGGGAAGAGTCATTGTGTGGAGGTTCTGGAGGGACACCGATGGCAAATCAAACACTTGCTGCCCAGGAACCGATATAGAAATCAAGAATCTGTCCCATGTTTGGTGATTTTTTACTGGGAAAATATCGAATCACCTGATCCGCAAACCAGGTCCCACCATGTGCCTTGAACCACAGCCTTCCCATTTCCGTCGCTGTATCCCGACTGGGGTGCTGGGCAGCTATCGTTCAGGACCGGGCGCTTGAACTCGGCCACCTCGGTGACAATGCGGGTCACCATCACTTGGATTTGCTGAAAGAACCGAGAAAACCAGCAGATATGATCGAGAAGGGAGTTCACCTATTATATAAGGGAAAATACAACACATCATCTTAAGCAAAAGCAGGAGAATACCTTTGAAGTAGCAATCAAGCAGCTAAAGCGGGAATACCATGGAATATCACTCCTGGGGGTGCCTTGCGTCAACAGCTTTGAGCTTCAGCCTTGCGACCATACTCTCCCCGGAGGCCCAAAGACTTTCTGAAAGAGTCTTGCAAATAACAACCAAGCTGTGGTTGATCATCCTTGATCCGCCTCTATCGTTCTTGATCAATGGAATGATGTTTGGCAAAATCCGTCTGCACCCAAGGTGCTGCGTGATTGAGTTGTGGCGCATTCATTGCTTACAGCTTAAGCTAGGTGGGGATAGAATTTTCATTTGCGAATTGAATTGCATGGCTCTGCAAGGTGCGTTTGGAGAGGAAGTGGTGGTGGAAGAAAAAAACACCAAAAAACTGACAAAATGCAATGTTTTGCAACATTTGATTTGGAGGTGTTGTCAGTTGTGCTATAAAAATGATCTGGGAGTGCAGGGTATCGGGCATGAAGTGGCACGCTTGCAGTAAGAAGTTGCCCAAACCGTGGAAAAGAGTCGCTGCTTTTCACAGCTATGGTGATGCAAAGAAATGCAAAGGATACAAGCCAGTGCAGGGGTAAAACATCGGGTTGAAGAGTGCACGGCCAATTCCTTGAACATGTACCATTTCAAGGGGATCGGACACCAATCCTTTACGAATGATCCACCAGGGGGGTGGAGTGGACAAGAAAGTACCCCCCCCCAGTCACCCGAGACCCTAAACCCGTAACCCGAGTTCACCACGCCCGGTTGGAGGAACATCGTCTTCGGGTCCATGCCATCTGGATCTCCGAACCCGGTCAGGAGGGGCATTGACTGCGTCACCAAGCCTTTCCTCTTGTTCCTCCAGTCCGACATCGGGACCGCCAGTTGGGTGAGTGGTCTTTAAAGCAACGAGGGGCATCTCTCTAACTATATTCTGTTTGTTGGAAGTCCAGGCAGTGGTAGTGTCAGCAAAACCAACACCAGATTCTACGGGTTCTCTCTCACGGGTCTTCACCAGTATGACAGGAGCACCGACTTTTTTCTCACAAGAAAGGAACAAAGAAACATCACATTGATGAGAAATGCACTTACTTCTAAAATTCCAACCCCGTGGATCCAACAAGGATTAAGAACAAACGGACAATCACAATCCCTATAGCAGCCAGAACCACGCCCAATTTTCCCAGCCAAGCTGCAAAGGCAGTGGCCTTGGAGCGCTCCTCTTGTGTGCAAACCAGCTGACTGCCTCAGCGTGCTTCAGAGTAGATAGCACAATCCCCTATATCTACTCTGAAAACACTGCAAGCGAACAATCACGAACATGTGGCGTCAACAGGACCACTGGTACTGGCTGGCATCGATCTTCAAGCGCAATATGTGCCTGGTGTGTCTAGAATTCCCTAGTAGCTCCCTGTGGGGTGGCTCAGGGCGACATCCTGGTGCCCAAACGCTCCATGTAAGCAAATATATGGCCAACATTCACCTCCCCCTGTAGGATCCTGTAGGCCCTATTTAGTCCTCTTGGCCCCAATTCGCAGGGCTTCAAGTTCTGCAAGGGGCCCTTGGCGCGAAGCCAAAGGAGCTGAGCATCCCAGGCCGTTCTTCACCAACATCCTGCACTCCACAGAAGCAACATGTTTGGTCGCCATCCCACTTCATCACAGCATGTTATAAAGCCAACAATGGTGAGAATCTTTGACCAAGTGTTGCTAGCGCCTTTCTCTAACCAATAGCCGTAATTCTTGGAGGTCAAGCTGGCATGGGTTGATGGTTCTGCCGAAACATTGCGGGGTCCAGGGTGTGGATCGAAGAGGCGAGCAGCTCCTGTCCTGGCTCTTGTCAAGAAATATAGACTAACAAATTCAAGCCAGCCACAACTTGTTCAGTTTCACATAAATCTGTTTTGGCTGAACGACGAGGTCGGGAGATGTTGCGGGGTAGTGATCATAATTCATGATACTGAATAATTAGTTGTCTTTTGGGTATATCTAATTACCAGGAACAGTGGATGATGATGGTATTATGGTTGCAGGCCTTGTTTAAAAATAGTGATTTGCTTGTCATCTGCTGGCTGTTACAATTAAAGACGGACAGACCCAACATTGATTGGTACATGGCGAAGTGCCACATGATCGCTTCTGTGATCAACTTCTCCTGTGGACGACGGGGGTATTGCTTCTCCAGGTTATCCTCTTCAACTGCTCCCCCAATCGGTCCAAAGGCCAGTGTGCCCACGCAGGTAGACCTTGGGTTTCCACGGCGAAGCGGTCCGAACAACGAGCATGTTCAGCGGCGCAACTGCAGAACGGAAATTCTTTTTGGCCCAGTGACTGGCTGCGATGCCGTTTTCAAATCTTCTATGAGTGGCAAAATGATTTGTGTTGCCAAATGCCGTTTGACATGATTCTCATTATTCCACAGAAACATTAAATCCAAAAAAACAACAAAAAGCATGGGTGATGCCGTGAATATACTTTGTCAACCAATCATTGGTCATTTGTTGTCAGTCGCTCATATATTATGTGGCACTTAGTATTTCTTCCTTTCGCGATTCGCACACATCGCTGTGCACGCCAGGCGTCGGTGTCTTGGGCGTTGATGGGTCCACCGAGGCCGATGTGGTCCAGCACTTCCTCGCGGCTGAATGCTGCCCTGGCCCACATCCCAGGTTCGGTGGTTCGGGGTGGGTGCCAAGAGGGTCTAAGCACCTTCAGGATTTGGGCCAGGAAACCTAAGGGATGCGTCATTTCTTGCGTCGCGCAGACTCTTCAAGCGATCAAGTTGGCTTCATTCAACGATCCTTGATCAGTCGGCTTGAGTACGCCACTGGCGCCAGCTTTTGTCCCAGTGCAAAAAAGGATGAAACATTGAATTGATCCACACACCCCGAGCTCCAGCAATACCATGCAACAGGGACCTTTTCGGACCTTTTCTCGGCAAGCTCTGAGAACTGATGCAGCAACCACCTGTGGGTTGTGGTCGTGGGTCACGGCACCGGACCCCCCCGGGATGTCCCGGGTAGGTGGACCTGCGCTAGACGTAGTCTAAGTCTATTCTGTTCATGGTCGGAGCTCTTCGGTGGGAGGTCAAGACCTCCGAGGTTTTGGACCCACAGCCATGTCGAAACTCTGGTTGCGTCAGTTCGAAGGAGGGGGTCTGGAGCCGGCAACACGTAGGAAAAAATCATGTGGTGGCACTCATTGACAGCTTCAGATCTCCTCAATACACTACACTTCATCCACCAACTTTTGTGCGGGTCCCAAAGATACTTAAATCGATTGGAGGTCAATTCCTGCTACGTTCCTGCCATGAAACTGTGGTGCTGGTGCTGGTCCTCCTTATGGGCATCTTTGACCGCCAGCATTTGAAGGATCTCGAATAGAGTCAGCCGATCAGCCTCACGGTGAAGCACGTGGTTGAAACTTCGATGGTTAGATGCTCACCATCAACACGCCCAAAAATGGCGCATACCTTGAAAAGGCCCAGTCGTCACACCACGTACGGCATACAGTATATGGGGTGAGCTATTGATGTAACACCGCGAGTCCATAATCGTAATACGTAGTTGTGCAAAAAGAGGTAGTATAGTACAGTTTTCAGGGATTGTGTTCTTTTTTTTTCAAGGCTCCTCAGGTCAGAATGTGGAAATCTTCCCCGGGGCCCCTGGGAATCAATGCTCAGTTGATGGTTAGCTTTGGACATGCCCACCTGAATGGCAATTTTTGAACGCCCAAATTGGAGTCTTCTTTGCCAAGCTGGCCGCCTGTCTTCTGGCCATTCTAGCTCAGTTCTTCCCATTGCATTCAGTAACAACTGGTCCCTCCAACAGCTCAGCTGGTCCTTTGACGTCGAGCCCCGTCATAGACATTCACACATACTTGCTCATTGAATTCACCTGGGCGCCCAAAGCCGCCCGCCACATCCCTGCCGAAACCGCCGGGTCGCGCCGCGCCTCTGAGCCGAAACTGTCCAAGGCGCCTTCCATACGCAGCCTGCGCGGTGACTGACTCACTGGGACTGGGACTGGATGGTGGTCCATCATGTGACTGACCCGTGGAGTAGACCACCTGTGTTCAGAATATAAAACAATAGAATCATATAGAAAGAATCCCAGAATTCAGGACCTTGGATGAGTTTCTTGAGGTTGGCAAATATGTGTATTTTCATGTGAATGTCTTGGGTCAAACGGGGCAGGGGTGTTCCAGGATGCTTCGTCGTATGTGAGTAATTGTGAGACACCAGTATTGTGAGAAAAAAACACCAATTTTGGTAAGAGTTGCCACAAGCTGTCACATGAGCGGCAAAAATCTGGCGGTCATACAGGAGGAATGGGAATAAGTGCAGGATTGGTGGTCGTTTTTAGTAGCTCTGTAGCTGCGGTGCCCGTTCGCAAATCATCGTCTTCCGGGTGTGCTTTTTCGTCACTCCTCTACTGCGGCACGTGCCGAGTAGTTCATTGCCAAAATATTCCCATGAACGTCCATATTCCAAACACATATGAACGTCCATATTTTTGAGACATAAAATGTCAGCCTTTTTTACACATTTATTGGTTTAATGTGTTTTTTTTGAGTGTTGTTGTATGATGTGTTTATCGAACATATGGCCTTTTTGGGCCTATGTTTTTTAATGTGTTTGTTGATGTTTTTGAGTGTCTTTTTGTTTTTTGAATGATTTCTTATGATTGTTGAATGGTTTGTTGATTTTTTATTTTGAGTTTGTTTTTTTGATTGTTTGTTTTCATTTGTTTGGAAAATATGATGTGTTAATGCGTTGTTGTTTCTTTATATGCTCCTTTTAAGTTTAGCTTGTTTGTTTTCAAATCTGTTCGAAAAGGACATGTTTTTTTCCAGTATTTTCTAGTAGTGTTTCATGTCATACTAGTTGTTGATTCCAACTTGTTGTGCTAGTTGCTCATTTCCTCGCAGACATACTGTATCGTTTTTATGTATTATACATTTTGTGTTATGTAGTGCATACACGTTTTAAAACACGACCCCGCATCAACCCCTGAGAGCCTACAGCTACAGCTACACCCGACGATGTTTGAAGAAACGCGGACCCATTTCAATGTCCCTCGCGCCGCTGTATTGGGGCTCAACTTTTGGCAATGTCGTTGCACTCTGACTTTTAAACTGCGCGGGCAGGGCCACTGTCCAAACAATGATACGGAGCTTGCCCGAAACAATCTAGATGCAACAAAAACCGTTGGAATTCTATTGCTATTATTGCTAGCGCTGCTAGCGCTATGTCAATTCACGAAAGAAACCAGCCCCAAGGGTTTTCAATCGGAAGGGTTTTGATGGTATTCAGGATTGAGTGGAATGAATTGGGGTTTGAGATTCCTAGATTTTTTTATGCGAAAACAATGTGGAAAATACGCATAGATGTGAAAAAAAAGAAATCCTTAAAACACACATGCAACTTATCAAAATGTTTATCTCGCGAAATATCTCAAATTATCTCACAATTTCTCAAAAGATTTCAACATATTTCAAGCCAAAAGTACTTAAGGGAAACAATACTTATCCGAGCTTATTTGATCTAATTTTATCTCAAATTTTCTCAAAGTATCTCAAAAGTTCTCGGAAGACTGGCTTTAAGTTATAAACACCAAGCCAGATTATCTCAATTTTTCTAACCTTCTCAAAATGTCTCGGAAGAAGCAACACAGAGAGAGAGGCTTGGAAAATCTGAGAATCTGAGAATCAAACAGACACTCAATGTGCACATACAGGTTTTGTGCTTGCTCCCCTGCTGTCAGGTGTCTGGATTGCTGTAGTCAGTTGTAATCTCAAAGCTCCAACTCAGCTGTCACTCATTGCAGTGAGAGTCATAATCAGGGTTGTAACCCTGATCAGTGTTCAAGTTCACCTTTTTTCATGCACAATAAATGAAATTTAAAACAAAAAAGAAAAAACACAAATCATAGAAAAAAATGAACCATAAACAAACATAAACAAAAATAAAATAGACATAAATAACATAAAGTGCGATATTGTGAACTGGTATAAAAAGAAGAGCCTTTCTGTTATTTCAAGGGGCTGGTTTCTTTCAGTGATCAATTGGTGCTTGACTTCTTTGTGCCTTTGCGCAGAGTGCCAGAATGAGCTGAGGGTTTCAGTCCATCACTGCCTTTGCAAGAGCTTGGGTCTTGGTAAGGCGAGGAGACTTCCTCGAATTTTGCAAGAGAGAGCACATGTAAGGCCTGTTTTGGATGGTGACCTGTTCCCCTTACTTTACGTCGCATGAGATCATCGTATCGTTGATTGTCACCTTGAATTGAAGTAACCCCCACCGTGAAAAATACATAACTATGTAGTGTTACGATTACACGTGTCTACACTTTTGAAGCACTAGGTCACTAGATTCACTAGATCTCCATGTCAGTTGTGTTTCATGGATTGGGGGGCCATCTCTGGATTCGTAAAATTTCGACACATCAGCGGGACTCAATGCTTCACACCAAGCCCACCAAGCGCACGATACGATGTTACTAATGTTGACATCCCACAGTTCAATTGCCGCAGCACGGCTGACCTCACGGACCTAACCTGTTCCATGGGAAACCTCACGCTGTGTTTTTCCAATACGGAGGCCACGGGCGGTTCACGATCCTAGCCGAGCGACCATGCGGCAAGGCACCAAAGCTGCGCAAGCTGACATTGTTTGTAAGGTGGATTGTAAGGTTCAATCTAGATTCTAGCCTTAACAAGACTAGGACTAGGCCACATACATGGTGAACAGCGGCTTGCAGCTGCGTCAATGTGTCAGTGTGTCAACAGCAACCAGTCCTCAATCACAAACAAAGGTAGTAGTTAACTAGTTACTAGGCCTTGCATGCCCCTAGCCGTGACCATCACAAATGTAGGAATATGCAGTGTAGCGGGTATGCGTGACTGGGTGTAATGTGGTGTTTTCGGGTTGGGCTGCACTCGGTGCGCTGCGTTGCACTCGGTGCGTTGCACTCAGTGCGTTGCACTCGGTGCGTTGCACTCGGTGCGTTGCACTCGGGGTGTTGCACTCGCTGCGCTGCACTCGGCGCGCTGCACTCGGTGCATTGCACTCGGTGCGCTGCGATGCACTCGGCGCGCTGCATGGTGCGCTGCGACGCACTCGGTGCGCTGAAGTCGGTGCGTTGCGCTCGGCGCGTTGCAGTCGGCGTGCTGCATTCGGCGCGCTGTGATGCACTCGGCGCGCTGCACGCGGTGTGCTGCGCTGTACGCTCGGCGGGCGGCACGGCTACGCGCGCTAGATTTGGCACGGTGCGCTCGGTACAGTGGAGCAGGCGCGTTGCCATGGGCACAGAGCAGTCGATGTGCTGCATGCTCTGGGTCCTATACATTCTTGCATCGACGAGGAGTAGTAGTAGTAGTAGTAGTAGTAGTAGTAGTAGTAGTAGTAGTAGTAGTAGTAGT